TTTAATGTACTTATTCTTCCTTTTATAATTAAGGGAAGCAATTATTTAAAAATAAAAACACATGGTTTTTTAAAATAATAAACTCTAGAGAACTCCTAAGAATAATTCCCTAAATTGCAGCACTACTGGTTTACCCTCTTTAATATCTATGTACCACACACACACAAAATTAAGCAATAAAGTACCATTCTAGTAAATACTAAGTAGAAGATAAGGTTAAAATTAAAACCACTCCACAAAACATTTATAACACCTGAATATGCTTTGTAAAACTTACTATAAAAAATTTCAAACACACACTAGATACCTCCACCTACCAATCAACAGTCTCCAATAATTATCAAAATCTGACCTCTTATAGTCTATTTTACCATCCTCTATTTTTTTAAGATTTTATTTTTAAGTAATCTCTACACCCAACATGGGGCTTGAACTCAAAACCCTAAGATCAAGAGTCCAACGCGCTACTGTCAGGCACCCCACCATTCTCTATTTTAAAGCAAATACCAACATCTTTAAGAGTACCTATTCTTAAACTGTTCTAAGCAACCTGTGGTAAATTACAAAACATGGCTCCAAATCTCTCCAAGTATGCACACCTCCTTTCATTGATGTTGCTGGTCTGCTCAGAAGAGGTAGACTCATTTTCTGCACCCCTTGAATATGCGTTTGTCTTGTGAGACTTACTCTAAGAGAATGTAGTGTGACATTGTATGATTTGCAAAGCTTTAAGTCTTACAACTTCCACTTTTCACCGTTCTTATTCTTAGAATGCTGTCTTGAGACCCCCATGTCAAAAGATGACCACGTGGAGCACAGCCTTCATGTTAATGGATACCAACTGTCAGACATGTGAGTGACACCATCTTGGACCTTCCAGTCTGAGAAATCCTACAGTTAAATACTGATATGTGAGTGAACCCTGGAAAAACCAGAACTGCCCCAACAGGCACATAGGGCTGTAAAATAGTAAACAGTAGTTTTAGTCTACTAGGTTTTGAGGTGGTTTGCTATGCAGCAATAAAATAAAACTTCACAATTCATCCTAATTTCTATTTTGTTACAATTACTAGGTACCCAGTTTCTATGAGAAACTATTTCTATCTGATCCTATTTCAAGGTCTAATTAGAATTTGTCTTTTATATCTAGGGGAGTTGCAGTTAGTGAATTTTCAAGAGCACCATATTACTACACAATAAATTTATAGCATGGTCAAAGTTATCACACAAAATACCAATATATTTCAACAGCCAGCAGTCTCACAGATCGCATAGTTTTAACTCCATTATTTATATCTATCTGGTATAGCCTTTTCTTTAACAAATCTTCTGAGGGAAAAATAATTTTTTTGAGTGAGAAATCCTAGTGTTTTATAGGTTCTAGTGAAGTTGGAAAGGCGGAAGCTATGTGTGGTCACATCAGAAAGCACAGAACTCTTTGGGTCTTTTAAAAAAGAAACCTGTATTTAAAAAATACAAACCCTGCCTCTGGGTTTGTATCTGACAGATATTTAAGACACAAACATACCCATGTCCTAAAAAATAATCAAAGGTTGAACATCTTCATGAGAAAATGACTATTAAGTCCATTTACTACTTTATGAGATAATCTGTCTTCCTTTATTAAAAAAAAATTTTTTTAGTGTTTACTTTGGGGGGTGGGGTAGGTACAGAGAGAGAGCGACACACAGAATCTGAGGCAGGGTCCAGGCTCCAAGCTGTCAGCACAGAGCCTGACGTGGGGCTCGAACCCACAAGCTGTGAGACATGACCTGAGCCAAAGTCGGCCGCCCAACCGACTGAGCCACCCGGGCGCCCCTGTCTTCCTTTAAAATACACGTTTAATCTGCAGGGGTGCATGGATGGCTCAGTCAACTAAGCATCCAACTTCAGTTCAGGTCACCATCTCGTGGTTCGTGGGTTCCAGCCCCGCATCGGACTGTGCTGACAGCTCAGAGCCTGGAGCCTGCTTCAGATTGTCTCTCCCCCTCTTTGCCTCTCCCCTGCTCATACTCCATCTCTATCAAAAATAAACATTAAGACAAAAAAATTTGTAAATGTCAAGTTTCAATCTTCAGAGTGGCCACCATTTTAGGTTTTTTTTTTTTTTTTCCTGGAAGGTAAGAAAACACATTATACTTAAGTGCAATAATAGAAAAATGAGAACCTAGCTTTTAAGGTTCAAAAGTTGCCCTCTTTTAAAGCTGTTGACAAACCTGGGTGGAGAGCAGTAGGTGATTTCAAAACCAGGTATTCACCTTAGGTAGTCTAACTGGTTGAGCCACAGACAAATCTATTTGACAGCAAGAAAAACCAGCTTTGATTGCAAGAGTTCAGACCAAAATAGAAAAGTTAAGATCGATGAAAATTAAACTCCAGTCAACTCTCAAATTATAATTTTATCCCTTCCTCTTGGGTTCATCTTACCATCAGCAACTTTTTTAAAGATAGGATGTCTATAAAATAATGATTTGTGAGGAGATAAATTATTTCACTATAACAGAATTTTGCTTTAGTGACTTCAATAGATCTTACAAGTAATTCAAAATCTTACTCATTTAACACTGTAACCCTAATGGGATCAGTTGTTAATTCTGTTATTTAGGAGTTAAAAGTTTCATGAGTTAAGTTTTATTTGCTGGTTAAAAATAAGGTTTGAGGGGAACATTTCACTCTGCCTTCCACTTATGCATTTCCCACTGTTCTTTATTTCTGACAGTTATCTGCAGTAACAAAAAGATGTTGTCAGTAATCATTATCTAAAAATCACTGTTAATTGGGCTTAGGGACATAATAGCTCTCCATTCCCAATTGCACAGAGCACTTTCTGAAACAGTAGAGGTTTTTCATGTTATCTTCCATTCAATTTGTCACAGCTATGGGAACAAACTGTCCATTTCTAAAACAAAACAGGATACCATGACTTTGCAGTTTCCTTATCAAAACCCTAGTCTTGTACCTCACATCTCAAACAATACTTCCTGTAAAAATTTCCCCAAAGATTAAACACCCCTCCTCTGTCCTCCCACAGTACTACTATGTACTTAGACTAAGATAATAGCAGTAGTTGTTTATACATTAGTCTCATGACTAAACTGTGAGTTGTGGAGGGCGGATGAGGTGTCCAGCTCATTCTTGTAATGTGAAGCCCTAGTCTAGTAGCCAGAATAGAACAAATAACCAAATTATTAAAAATGTTTTACATAATTTGATAATTTTGCACTACCATTTTCCTAAAATATAATATTAAAATGTTGGCAACTCTTGAATGTATGCCAGGTGAAGAGTTGTGTGAAATGGATATGGAGCTCATTAAAGTTTGGCTGCACAAGAGCCATGGATGACATCTCCTTTGATTATCTGACATCTCCATGTAAAACCTAAGTGCATGTCTTAAAAGGGAATCTTTGGACTTTATCTTGGAAAATAAGCACTCTTGCCAGTGTAGCAGGAAGAGCAATCACTAGTAGTTAAGTAGGAAATTTTAATCATTCAAGACATCTGACCCTATGAATAACTTTGAAAAAAGCCAAGACTATGCATACCCAAGGCTGACATCTGGGGCCAAATTTAAAGCAAAACAAAAGTTGTAAAAAGTTCCTATCTAAAAATATTTGTAGTATAGAATTTACATAAATACAGGTTACTCGTAGGGAAGGGGAAATTACAAGCAGAGTAATATTTTAAGGTTATTCTGATCAGTATATAAACAACTGGACTTGAGGTATCAATTCCAATTGCTTATACCCATTAAAAATTCACTTTGAGAGTACCATGTCCCCTAGGTGTTGACTACTACAGGCTACCTCATCTAATTCAATCTTCACATCAACTCCAGGAAAACTGCTGTTTCTAGGAACATCTGAAGAGGTTAAATAATTACAGCAAAATTAAGACTCAAATCCAGGTCCTCTGACTCTAAAGGCCTCATACACCACAGCTGTTTCACAAATGGCTGTAGGCCTGTAAAGGAAATACTGACCTCATTTCTGAAACAAAATGCTTATCCTTACGAAAAAAATCTCTTAACAACTTTGTGTCTGACTTGTTAACAATATACTGTGGTTTTTAAAACAAAAATTCATTTTTAACCTTACCTCTTAGTTCGAAACAGAAAGGGAGTCTGGACAAGTTTAAATTAAAAAAAAATTAAAAGTCCTACAAAAAAAAAGGGCCCTTACTAAATAAAATTTTACTTTGGCATATTTACTATCAATAGTGCCAAACGACACTAGTGGCGAATCCATTACCAGGGTAGATTTCTCCCGTATATTACTATTTACATGTATATGTAAGAAAAAAAAATAATTGTAGTATTTTATGGTGCGTCTGTCTACATCTTCACTACGCTGGTCCATCAAAATGAGGGAATATTCTACCAGTGGTGCCTTCCATTTTTTACTTCCACCGCCAACAGGTTCGTTTTTTATACATACCACCAACTCAACTCGAAGAACAATTTATCACAATACAAAGCAACTCACAAAGTACCACGATATTCAAGAAATGGGGCGATCAATGAGCAAAGCGTCACCGCAACTTGAGGGCCTAGCCAAGTCCTTTCAACTCGAGACCGAGTTGGCAGGGCCCCAAACTTCCCCGCCTTCCACGCCGCGCTCCTTAAATACTTCACTCGTGACTCGCCCGGCCCGCGGGGCTCTCGAGGACCCTTCTTACCCCGATCCAAGAGGAGGCCGTCAAAGGCCAAAGTCGGGCCGAAACCCCTAGCTCTTGCCAACAGCACGTCCATAAGGAAGACGTACAATCTGCCCCTCCACCCGTCACAAACTCCACCACGAGATGAAAGGCGACCGGCAGGGGCCTGCGCCCGGCCGCCCTTCCTACCTGGGGCTCAGAATCACGCTCCTCCGCCCGCTGTAAGGACGGAGGACCGAGCCTCCGCGTCCCCCGGCCTATACTTCGTTTTCTCCCCTCCCCCACGCGGCCTAGGTTAGAAACCAGCTCCCAGCTAGAAAAGCCCATGCGCCGCAGCTTATTACCTCTCTTCCCGAGCTGGCAATGAACAGGGCGCGTCCCTCTCACAACGACCGCACCACCGCCTTCTTCCTCGGAGTTCTAGGCCTCTAACTGAGGCAAAGCAGTCCGCAGAGAAGCACAATGGCGCCCGCCCCACTCCCAGATCCGGCGCAGAACCAGCCGCCACCGTTAAAAGCCCCTCCCTTCTCCTCCCGCACTTCACGTACTCCGCCGACATCTCGCGAGAGGGGCGGCGCTGCTGGGGACCCGAGAGCAGCGGGCGGGCTCGACGTACCCTACCGCGGGGTGGTGCTCTGACTGCGGCAACCGTTGAAGGGCTGCCCCCAGGGAGGCAGCGAGGCGCCACCGGTAAGCGGCTGCGGCTGGTCGGCCGGCGGGCTGGCGGTTGGGCCGGCGAGGGTGCGGACGCCGGGACAGGGGTGCTGGGCCCCGGCCCTTGGTTGGCTGCCTCGCCTACTTGGCGACAGGTTCTGATTCAGCCTCGCCGGTCCCCGGAGCCCGAGTTCACGCCATCGGCTCTTGCCCCCTCGGGCAAACCAGCTGGACCCACTATTCAAAATACCGCCCAACTCCTTTTTTTCCCCCCCTGGCGCTTGGTAAGTGGCGCAGTGAATGTTTATTGACTTGAATCAAGCACTGTGTCTTCCGACCTCCCCTCCTCCCACTCCCTGCGGGTCTTGCAGGTGGTCTGAGAGCCCTCACCTTTCAGCGTAGGAGCCAGTTTGTCCAGGACCGTTTTTGTTTTGTTTTGTTTTGTTTTGTTTTTGCTGGTGGTCATTCAGTCTTGGTGGTGGTGTACTTTTACCGTCATAAAATCATAAAATCGTGATGCTGATCTTTGATAGTGTAGTTACAGATTTTGCAGTAAAAATTCACTTGGAGGAAAATTTTAAGGTAAATGGTCCTGTGAAAATTAGGCGAAACATTAAAAACTGTAAATGTGGGGGCGGCTGGGTGGCTTAGTCGGTTAAGCGTCCGACTTTCGCTTAGGTCATGATCTCGCGGTTCGTGGGTTCGAGCCCCGCGTCGGGCTCTGTGCTGACTGCCAGCTCGGAGCCTGGAGCCTGTTTCGGAGTCTGTGTCTTCCTCTCTCTCTGACCCTCCCCTGCTCACGCTGTCTCTCTTTCTCTCTCCTAGAAATAAATAAAAAAATATTAAAAAAAATAAAAACTGTAAATGTGGCAAGCTTAATATGTAAATGATTAGTAAAAAATAAGGAGTAAGAGAAAACTACAATTGATGTGGATTTAGATTACATTACATGTGGATTCAGGTGATATTGTACGTATTTTGAATAATGTATCAAACGTAAAAAGTTCTTTAACGGTAAAGATAAGTTACTGAAACTTGTAGGCTTACTTGACAGCATCTGATAAACTGACTGTTTTATTAGGTTTTAAGCAATGCATTGTATTCAAATAATTCCAATAAATGAAGTATGAGGTTTCTATGTATTTCTTTGTCATTTCATCTGTAGGGAATGCACGATCACTTCTCATCCCCATTTCACTCTGGGAGACTAGGACTGTCCCTGCTTCATTCACTAGTTATAAATTGTAAAGTATTGTAAATTTTAAAGATTCAAAGTTTATTATTTAAAATTGGCATATAAAAGCCAGTCTAGCTTTTTAGGATGTGGGTTAAAGATTAAGCATCTGGTATGGGATAAAGTGAGCACAGAGGAGGAAATTAAGTTGCCCTTTTTAGAAAACACATTTTTTTTTGCAGCTTCCTTGAGTATACCAGTAGCATTGTGGTTATGGATATACACACCTGAAGCACCAGATTGCATGACTTTGTATCCTAGCTCTTCCTGTATCTTAACCACCTTTGTTGTCTTCAGCAATTCCTTAACCTTGCTAAGCCTGTTTCCTGTAAAATTGAGGTTAATAACAATACCGGTACCCCACAGAGCTGTTGAAAATATTAAATGAGTTAATACATTAATTCCTTGAACATAGTAAGCATTCCATAACTGTTAGCTATTATATTCCATGTCTAAACCACCACTAATACTGTCTTTCTGGGGCTTAATATTATATAGGTCCCATAAGCATCTTCTCAAGTATATTCTACGCTAAGAGGAATGACTGCACCATTTTCCTGAGCTATGACATTCAGACCTGGTAGCAGTAATTTCTCTACAGAACCCCCAAACCTGGCAAGAATGGATCAGATTTTGACAGATTATGGCTTCATCCACACCCAGAACTGATGAGATCAACAGAGGTGAGTGTGGCATCAAATTTCTATGCTAAACATACCTTCCAGATTCTATTACTGATGCTAGTAATTTCATAAAGACCCCTGATAACTATGTTTTTATTCTTTAAGAATGGTTAGTTGTCATTGTTTTTAAAGTATCTTCTCTGATTTGAGTTTCCATGTAACTATCATTATCAAAAAATTTTTGAGATTTTCCTATGTTGAAGACAATTTAATAGAATTGTGGCTACAGATGGGTACAATGGTGACTATATTTTCTGATCTAAAAATCAGTACAAAATGATTTGACAGGAAAATACTTGAAATCAGAACTGTTTTGACCAATTTAGACTCCATAATTATTTTTTTTTGTACAGAATTCCCCTAATTAACCTTCTTTTGCTAAGCTTTTTATCCTTATGACTAACTCTGACATACTTTTTTTATCTAAATATCTTGGTTCACCACTTGCCCATACCACTTAAATTAGTTTCCATACTACTATTAATTTTCCCCCTTCTACTTTATAAACTTGTCTGTAGTTTGGTCACGGTTATAACAGTTCTTTCCTTTTATGCTAATAGTTCTTTAACTACCTGATAGCTTAGAGAATTCTCTTTCAGATACTGAATTTCAATGTTCCAATTTTCCTTACTTTTTTGTCATCCCACAACCTAATCTTCTAAGAAACCTCTCTATGTAAAAGCAATCTTATAGATATGTTTTACTTGGAATAAACGATGTGGTCTTGAAAAGGTGTGGTGATATTTGCTTTTTGTAAATCAAATCATTTTTAAATGCATTTTTAAGTTTATTTATTTATTTTGAGAGAGAGAAACAGAGCATACAGGTCGGGGAGAAAGAGAGAGAGGAGGAGAGAGAGTCTCGAGCATGTCTACATTGTTAGGACAGAACCCGATGCTCTTAACCGACCGAGCTACCCAGAGGCCCCTAAATCAAAGCATTTTTAAATGTGGGTTGTTTCTGAAGCTTTTGAGTAACAGGAAGTAATACCTGAGATGAGAAATGAGTGGTTATAGAGAAGTCCCTGAGTTGAAAACAAAGGATTCCAGTTTCTTCTTAGATGGGAATCTTATTAATCCCTGGAGAAGGGAACCCTGTGGCATCAACCAAGTTTAGGATCTACTATTTAAAGTTATAGCTAACGTTAGGGGCTCCTGGGTCTCTCAGTCAGTTAAGCGTCCAGCTCTTGCTTTTGGCTTAGGTCATGATCTCACAGTTCATGAGTTGGAGTCCCGTGTGGGACTCTGTGCTGACAGTGTGGAGTCTGTTGGGATTCTCTCTCTCTCCCTCTCTGCCTTCCCCTCCCCTGCCTGTGTGTGCACACACACACAGTCTCTCTCTGTCTCTCTCTCTCCCCCTTCTCTTTCAAAAAATAAAGTTATAAGTAATTTTAAATATATAATATTATTTAATAATAGTCTACAGATTGAAGACTCTTCCTTCTTAAAGATCATTTGCTTTAAGTCTTTGATGTAAAGAATTCCATTCATTCCAAAAATGATAAACTCCTGATTTAGTGATTTTGTATATTTTAATTTTGCCCTTAATTGAATTTTAGAAATTTGAGTTTAATTAAAAGGTGCCATATTTAATAAACATCCAAGACACTCAGTTGATTTGTGCTGCAATAATGTTCAATCCCTAGAGCCAATAGATGAAACAATGTAAAAACAAACAAACAATACCATCTTGAAACCCTCCCTGAAAAACACTTTCTTATACCTAAGCTCATGGTCTAGAACTAATTAGTTCTAGAAGTATCATTCTTGCTTGTGTAGCTCCTCTAGAATATGTGAGCCGATTAGGAGCAAATCCACATTTATGAGGCACTTGGAATCTGTATGTGAAGCGCATTTCACACTGCCTGAGAAATAGTTTTAAATAAAAGCAGCTTTTATTATTAATAATACTACAGGTTGGAAAAATATGGTACACAAGCCAAATCTGGTTAACTGTCTGTTATTGTAAATAGTTTTATTGGAACACAGCCAGGCTATATTTATGTGTTGTCTGTATATTAGTCAGAGTTGGCCAGAGAAACAGAACTATTTATCTGTCTAGAGAATTGGTTAACATAGTTGTAGGAACTGTTAACACTGAAATTTGTAAGGCAGGCCAGGGGGCTGGAAACTCAGATAGGAGTGGATAGTGCAGTCTTCAGGCAGAATTTTTTTTTCCAGAAAAGCTGTTTTTGCTCTCACAGCTGATTAGATGGGGCCCATCATATTATCGAGAATAATCTCCTTGACTTAAAATCAATGCATTCCAGATATTGAGTACATTTACAAAATATCTTCACAGAAATGCCTAAATTAGCATTTGATTAAGTAACTTGACGCTCTACATTAGCTAAGTTAACACTTAAAATTAACCATTACAACCTATGAGTGAGTGCTTGTACCCAACAGTGGCAGAGTTGACTAGTTGTGATAGAGATAATATGGCCCAAAAAGTCTAGAACATTTACTGTTTGTTTTTTTACAGAAAGTGTGCTGACCCCTGGAGTAAACTGTGAAACCAGACTGAACTGACACTGTTCCTTTAATAACAATCAAGCTAAACATACACACATATCAGAATGATGATAATTGGCCTCCATGGCCACTTCAGATTACATTTTATGAGACTATAAGCAGAAGAGCCTCCAAATACTGATAGAAATTCCTTGGGTATTCCCTCTGGCAAGTTTGGTTCTTAAAATCTTTTTAGCTTAATTTTTCTTCATATGTATGATTTTATAACAATGTAGATATGTGATTATTCATACTAGCTATTTTAGTTTAGGTCATTTCTTTAGCTTTTTTCCCTTTTCCTTCATAATTTGTCTTTCTTGCCACTATTTACCACATACGAATATCCTTACAAAATCAGTATCTTTCTAGACTTTTTTCTGCATGATCACACAGCCTGAAAAGAATAGTTCTGTTAACATACATATACACACGCACACACACGTACACATGCACTCTCCTTTTCTCCACACACACAAAGAACTCATTTTTTTAACCATTTGTTTTATAAAATAGCATCATATTCATCTGACCTTTTTCAACCAAAAGTACTTCTAAACTAAATCCCTATTTATGTTGATTATTTATCCTTTCTTTTCAATTTGTGAAAGCTGTTAACACTCCTTTCTTCCCAGTGTTTTTCAACTTTCTGATCTGTCTCTTGACTTGCCATTTAGTATCTTTTGCCAAAGATACATTCATATGTTAAAATGTGTCTGTGATTTCTTTTATGACTTTTGGGTTCCTAGCTTAGTTTAATAAGTCTTAACATTTCCCTTGACTATATCATATAGTATCCTAAATTTTCTAAATAATGTTTAACTAAACTCATATTAGTTTGTGTGGTGTAATAAGATCATGGGATCCAGTTTTATGTTACATTCAATAGATAGTTAGCTGTGCTTGTAGCATTTCTTAAATAATCCTGTCTTTATATATGACCTTTTGTCACACACTGAATTTTCAAATTTATACTGGATTTATTTCTGGATTTTGTATTGTGAATACTAAACTGTTCAGAACTATATGCAGAGTACTGTTGTTTAGGCCCCTTTTGAATCTTTTTGACATACTGATCACTGTTCTGCATTTCAGTCACCTACCTATTTCAATCTTAAGAAATGGTAACTCTGTGTCTTGTAGAATCCCCCAATACACCTATCTGGCTTTACATTTTATGGTGTGTGTTATACTACTAGCCCACCTAGGAGTTGTCTAAATTTTTTCCCACTATTCTTATTTCCTTTTCTCAGCAGTTTGCTAAAGCCATTGAATATACTTAATTATTTAAAACACTTTATCAATATTTTTGTATATCATAATAATTTTGTAAAAATTATACGCATACACACATATATACTACTTAGCTTCTTTACCCTGTTCCCTATCCAAGAGTCTAATCTCAGCTTTCACCATGTAGCCTTGGCCACTCTTGACAGCAAGTTAGCCATTTGTACCAAGGACAATACAGAACAAATTTTACATTTTCCTCTATTATGTCATCATAAATGTTATGATAATAGTGACGTACTTTAAACATTTAACTTATAGTTAATATTTGTAATTCTTAACTTTAGTATAGCACACAAATATTGGTGGTAGGTATTGATTTTGTTGTGGCTTGAATATTATTGTCTTCAAAGCTGAGAACCCTCTACTTTAAAAAATTATATTTTCAGTTTTTAGAAGATATTAAATCAGTACTTTTTGCTTGCATACAGCCAATTTTGATTAAATTATGGAAAGGCTTTTCTCAGGAAAGTGATTATTGTTTGGAAGTGTATTAAGATATTTTTATTTTTTTTTTTATTTATTTATTTTTTAAATGTTTTTATTTATTTCTAGGAGAGAGAGAGAGACAGTGTGAGCAGGGGAGGGTCAGAGAGAGAGGGAGTCACAGACTGAAACAGGCTCCAGGCTCTGAGCAGGCAGTCAGCACAGAGCCCGACGCGGGGCTCGAACCCACGAACCGCGAGATCATGACCTAAGCGAAAGTCGGACGCTTAACCAACTAAGCCACCCAGGCGCCCCTATTAAGATATTTTTAAATCTTCTATGAATTTTATCTCAAATATTCTTGAATTGAAAGTTTTAAATGTGTTTCATATTAGGGTCTTAGGATATGAATGAAAATATGAAATACAACCTTAAATAATATTTGGTTTCCTTTACCAGTTTTATAAATACATATATAATCATGGGGTTATTCAGTGCCCCCACCCCCATATCTCACCATTATATCACTAAAGGTGTATTGATAGCAGTTCCTTTTATCCCAGTAAATTATGTCTGACTCTCAAGAAAAAATTAAAAGATCTACCAAAAAGAAAAAAAAAATGTAATTTCAAGAGATAAAAGCAAGCATCAGAACCAGACATAGAGATGTTGAAATTTTTTGTTCTCATCATATATTTATTTTTAACATAGAACCCCAGTTTCACATCACACACGTCTTCCCATTTGAGATTGTTAACATACTATGTTCTTCACAGAATAGGAATTTACAACAACTATGATTAATTAATATGCTAAAGACTCTAATGGATAAAGTAGACAACACACAAAAATAGCTGAGCAATGTAAGCAGAATCATGCATATCATAAGAAAGAACAGTAACAAAAAAATGCTAGGGATAAAAAAAAAACTGTTACAGAAATGACGAATATCTCTGATGAGTTTATTAGACTGGACATGGCTGAAGAAAGAATCTCTGAATTAGAGTGTATGACAGTAGAAGCCATGAAAACCAAAAATCAAAGAGAACAAAAACTATCAAAAAATAGAACACAATATCCAAGGACTGTGGAACAACTAGAAAAGGTGTAACATAGGTTAATTGGACTATCTCAAAGAGAAGAAAGAAAAGAATAGGAGAAATATTTGAACCAATAATGAGAGAATTTCTACCAAATTTCTGTCAGACACCGAACCAGATATCCAGATATCCATAGTACATGGAGCAGGATAACATGGCCAAGAAAACTTGAGCATATCACTCTCAAATTACAAAAAAATCAAAGACAAAAGAAAAAATCCTGAAAGAGGCCAGAGTTAAAAATACCTTACCAAAATAAGAACAAAGATAAGAATTACACCAAGTTTCTCCTCAGAAGCCATGAAAGGAAAGAGGGTCAAATGAAATATTTAAAATGTGAAAAAACACCCACTAATGTAGAATTCTGTACTGAGATTACCTTCAAAATTGAGGGAGAAATTGACAAACAGCAGTTGAAAAAACTTGCTGACAGTAGGCCTGATTTACAAAAAAAATTAAAAGAAATTCATTACAGAGAAGGAAAATAATATAGTTCAGAAATTCGGATCTATGTGAAGAAAGGAAGAACATCAAAGAAAGAAAAAATGAAGGTAAAATATGAACATTTATTTTTCTTCTTAATCTAATAGATAGCAGTTTTTTTGTTCAAAATAATACCAACAGTATATTGAATTATGTGTATGTATGTTTATATAATTGCTTCTATATACTTATATGTAAGCAAAATGACTAACACCAATGATACAAGAGCTGGAAGGAAGACATTAGGATTATTTTGTTATTATAAGATACACTACTTGTGAAGTTGTGTAATACTTGAAAGTGGATTTGGATGAGTTGTAAATGTACAGTGAAAACTCTAGGGGCAGCCAGTAAAAAAAGCAAAAAAAGAACTATAATTGGTATGCTAAGAAAGAGAAAATAGAATCATCTAAAACATTCAGTTAAAACTGTAAGAGGCAGAAAAGAGTGAAAAATGAAAATAGGAACAGAGAACAAGGGCAACAAATAGAAAACAGTAGCAAATGTAATAGATAGTAATCCAACCATATTAATAACTGTTGAATGTCGTTGGTCTAAATATACCAGTTAAAGGACATCATCTGAATGGATGAGAAAACAAGATCCAACTCTATGTTTTCTACAAGAAACTAATTTTTAATATATATGTACAATGTATATAGCAGACTTCAAAGTAAAAAACGCTAGTAAAGATAAAGAAGAGGATTACATAATAAGAGGTCAATTCTCCAAGAAGACATAACAAATTTTAATATGTATTCATCTAACAAAAGAGCATCAAACTGCATGACACAAAAATGATAAAATTGCAAAGAGAAATAGATGAATTCACTATCATAGTTGGAGATGTCCATACTCCTCTTTCAGACAGGTATATCCAGTAGATAGAAAATCAGTAAGGACATACTTGAACTCAACGTCTTTAATCAGCTAGATATAATTGACATATATAGACTCCATCCAAAACAGGAAAATTAGTGTTTTCTCAAGCTCATGTGGAGCATTCACCAAGATAAACTATATTCTAGGACATGAAACACACTTTAACAAATTTAAAAATAGAGGTACAGTGTGTATTCTTAGACCATAATAGAATTAAACTAGGAATCAATCACAGAAAGAAACTAGAAAAATCGTAAATACGTGAGATTAAACAATACCCTTCTAAACCTAGGAATCAAGAAATTGCAAAAGAAATTTTAAAGTATTTTGAACTTAATGAAAATGAAAATACAACTTAATCAAAATTTGTGGGAAGTGCAAATCAGTGCTTAGAGGCAAATTTATAGCACTGAATTCATATGTTAGAAAAGAAGAAAGATCAAAATTCAATAACTATGCCTTAGAAAGCTGGAAAAGGAAGAGGAAATTAGTTCCAAAGGAAGTAGAAGAAAAGAAATAGCAAAAATTAGGGCTGAAATCAATGAAATTAAAACAAGAAAACCAATAGTAAAAAAATCAACCGAACTGAACACCGGGTCTTTGAAAAGGTCACTAAAATCAGCAAATCTGTAGCCAAGTTAACTAAGAAGAAAAAAGAGGATACAAATGAATAATGTCAGAAAACAGAGGACATCACTATAGATTCCATGGAAACTGAAAGGATTACAAAAGAATACTATGAATAACTCTTTGCCTACAAATTTGATAACCTAAATGAAATGGACCAATTCCTTTAAAGACACAGTATGTCAAGATACATACAAAGAAATGAATTGCATAGACCTGTATCTGTTAAAGAAATTGAATCAATAATTCATAACTTTCCAGAACAGGAAGCCCAGGCCCACATGGATTCACTAGTGAATTGTACCAAATATTTAAGGGAGAAATTATACCAATTTTCTACAACCTTAGAGGATAGAGGCAGAGAGAATAATTCTTAACTTCGGCTCTGTGAAGCCAGCACTACCCAAAGCCAAAGACATTACAAGAAGATCAAACTTGACACCAGTATCTCTTAATGAACATAAATTCAAAATATTAACAAGTCAAATCTACAGATGTGTAAAAGGAATTATATATAACAAGCAAGTGCAATTTATCTCAGGTATGTAAGGCTGCTTCAGCATTAAAAAATCAGTTATTGCAATCTGTCATACCAATAGGCTAAAAAGATTACATGATCATATCAGCAAATGTAGAAGAAACATTTGACAAAATCCAACACCCATTCGTGATAAAGAATTATCAAACAAAGAACAGAAGGTAACATTGTCACCTTGGTAAAAAGCTTACAAAAAATCGACAGCTAATATTTTAAAATTTATTTTTAAGACAGAGCGAGAGAGAGCGCTCATGTGCACAAGTGGGGGAGGGGCAGAATGAGAGAGAGGGAGACAGAGTTGGAAGCAGGCTCCAGACTCTTGAGTTCTAAGCACAGAGCCCAATGCAGGGCTCAAACTCACTAACTGAGACCATGACCTGAGTCACAGTCGGACACTTAACTGACTGAGCCACCCAGGTGCCCATACAGCTAATGTTTTTAATGGTGAGAAATTTGAAGCTTTCCCACTAAGATCAGGTACAATGCAAAGATGTCTCATTTTACCTCTCCTTCTCAACATTGTACTGGAACTCATTGCTAATGCAATAAGGTGATAAAAGGTGTACAGATTGATTCACATTGTATACATATATCAAATCACTATGATGTACACATTAAATATCTTACAATTTGGGGGAACCTGGATAACTCGGTTAAGTGTTCGACTCTTAGTATCAGCTCAGGTCTTGATCTCAGGTTCGTGAATTCAAGCCTTATGTTGGGCTCTGTGCTATTAATGAAGTCTACTTTTAACAAAAAAATCTTGGGCACCTGAGTGGCTTAGTAGGTTGAGCGTCTGACTTCGGCTCAGGTCATGATCTCACACTTCATGGGTTCAAGCCCCATGTCGAGCTCTGTGCTGACAGCTCAGAGCCTGGAGCCTGCTTCAGAT